GTTCACACACTTGCTGAAAAGCATTTTGTTTGTCAAATGGCTCTTATCTCACCCTAAAAATCTAGCAACATAAAGTAAGTAATTAAAATGTACAACTGAATATAAACACCAACAAACATATAAATCTTTGTCCTTTGTACCCAACTTTTGAGGCCTTCTGCATACCAGGGATATCTTTATTTTGTCTTGCTTTGATTTTAAGACAACTTTGTTTTAATTACTTACATTGAAAGTGGCAGGTATCATATCTACTGCTACATGGCATGGAGGGTACATAGGACTGCAGCCCCGTAAGTCACGGCATTGGTAATAACATCAACCAGCAATCATCTTCTCACTGACTGCACGTAGATATGCCTGGAATGTAGCACATGTTTCCAGTAAGCAAGAGAGTTGCAGCTAGGCCCCAGAAACTAGGGAAATTAAAGTAAAATCCCGACAACTGTCAATATTCTATTTTATGTTTTATTTTAAAGCTGATTTATGTCCAGTACTCTGACAGCCTTCCGAAGAACGGCAGTGCAGCCCAGTAAGCCGTCTGCCAAGTGCAATGGCTCAGCCACAGAATGATGGCTTCAGAAAGTTGGTTAAGCAAGATTGTGCCAGCGATTTCTCTGGTCCAGGGCTCAGCATCTCATCTCAGTGGGTTTGGTGGTGGGAGGGGCATAGTAGGGAGCATATTTTTCCTAGTCTGTAAATTCAGATAAATTAATTAATGTGCATATTATATGATTATATACCCCCTTTTCCATTTCAACCCCACCCATACAGAGTGGTAACTCACTGAAACCTACAGACAGGATTAACTGCTGACAGAAGGAGGGGGTTCCTGCAGGAATTTCCATCCTAATCTTTATGAAGACAGACAGATATGCAATAAAAAAATCCAAGAAGATGATTCAAATCACAGACTCACTAGATGAGTTTGTGCTTATAGCCCATAGATCAGAGAGTCCTGTTCAGCTGCCACCATTAGTATAGAATTATATTCTGTGTCTATTCTGCAGTTAGAAGAATTGGAAAAATCTACAGTTTATCTTTTTAAAAATGTTTACTGACGGCTACCTTGAAAACGTAAGGAGCTATAAAATAAAAGGTAAATAACCAGGCGTGAATATTTGCCAGACAGAAAGAGAAAAATATATACCAGTAAGCTCCAATTTATACTTTTTTACCATTTAAAAAATTCTTCTGGTGCTTATATTTCTGGATATTTCTAGGTGAAGTATTAGGAGCCAGATATAAAGTTTCATGAAGTAAAAGAGCACCGGTTTATGAGTTAGAAAACACACTTACAGGCTGTGATCTGGGATAATCATTCAACCTCTGTCATCCTCAGTTTCTCCAGATGGAAATGAAACCTGGCATTTGCCTTGCCACTCCATAACTGTGTTCTGAGGATCAAACATAATGTGTGTAAATTTACCCTATAAATGTAAGGCCTTAGAAATTGTCATTTCATTAGTAAACTTTTTAAAAAGATTTTATTTGTTTACTTTTAGAAAGAGACAGGGGGGGGGGGAGAAAGAGAGGGAGAGAAATATCAATGTGCAAGAGATCCGTCAATCTGCTGCCTCTCACACACCCCAGCCAAGTATCTGGCCAGCAACTCAGGCATGTGTCCTGACTGGGAATCAAACTGGTGACCTTTTGGTTCCCAGGCCGACACTCAATCCACTGAGCCACACCAACCATGGCTCATTAGTAAACTTTTAAAAAATCTCTAATCAGAAGGAAAATCTTTATGGAAAGTGATGTGGACACATGAAAGACACTTCACTGTGACTTAGAAATCAGACACAGGGCTTTCATCTCAGAATTTCTTCAAATGCTTTCTTTTAATTACTTTTAAGGGCTAAGAATTCAGATGTTGCCTATAGGATGCCTCTTTAATAAATTAAATTGGGACTTTAAAGTGAGTTGGCTTCAGCTTTCACAAGAATGTAACAGGAAAGAAGCACTTTCTAAACTATCCTGTTATTCCTAGTAAAATAGTTGTTCTCTGTATTACTCAGAGCATACATTATATATTCCAAAATATAATTAGCACTTGTAGCTGTAACAGATAGCTACACCTTCTGGTTATGTATCTGTCAAATTTTCATTTTAATAGCAATGACTCATAATGAAATTATGCATTCATCATTCCATTCATTAAACCACTTAACTTGCGGGCTCTCCGTGTAAACTGAAAATTCTCTGCATATGTGTTCGCATCACGCTGGCCCAGACTCTTATTTGTCAACATAATATTTGTTAACATACACAGTTCTTTCCAGAACAAGGTACTTTTTAGTCTTATTTCGTTTTTAATGTGCATTCAGAGAGCAGATGCTGTTGAAAATGTTATTAAGTTACAGATGCACAGAGTCCTCTTGCTGAATGTGTCTGGTAATATAGTTTTGAAATATTACTCCAGTTCTAGCCTTCTGCTGCCCCAAACTTCATCCTCCAGGGAACCATCCAAAAACACAATGCTAAGAATTACTAAATTCAATCTTCAGACCGAAATGGTTTGAAATGGTAGAACATGGTTTCAACAAATTCAGCATAGGTTTCTCTTGTTGATGAAGGGATGAGCTCCAAAGACACATTATTATCTGAAATTTCATTATAGGGAGGAAATTAAAGTACTAGTTATTGGGAGAAAGCAAAGCAACAACACAAGGTTCTATCTTGTACGTTTAACAGTTGGCATTCTTCTTTCTGCCACTCCCTCACTCCCTTTCCTGGTCCTGCCTCCTTTTCTTTCTACCCTTTCTTTCCTCCTCTTCTTTCCTCCTCTTCTTTCCTAGTGTGCCCCTTACCCTCTCTTTAATAATTCCCCTCCCTTTTATTTCCTGCTCAGTGATAACCAGCAAAGAGCTTTACTCCTACCTTCTCATGTACCTCATCTGATTATCACATGCGGTATTACAATATATATATTATCATCATTCCATTTTACCTGTGGCTTACATGGACTAAGAGAAACAAGTCAGGCCTCCTTATTTCAAAGCCTGTGTCCTCTTTGAATATAATGCTACCTCAAGAAATTCCTTTCTCCCTCATAGATATTTTCCACTTTTTTACCTCCCCTCAGCTTCTCTGCCTCACTGTCTGCTCCTTCTCCATTGCTCAACAAATCATCTTCCACCCCACCCCAACCCCCACCTGAACAGCCCTTTCTAGTAAACTCCTTCATCCTCAGAGAGGTCAAGGGGATTTTTCTTCTCCAAGGACTTCACTGAGTATCTTTGCTGCAATCCCTCTTATTTCATCCCAGGAACAACTTATCTCTTGTGTCATTAGCATCTGTCTTTTAAATTAATCACATTAATATCAGAGAGAAGTATCTAACTAGGGAGTTTTTCTCTCACTCTCTCTCTCTCTGACTCTCTGTCACTTTCTCTGTCTTCCAAATTATTTGTGGTATTGTTAATGGTGTTTAGATTGTCAGGTTGTCAATTAAACCTTTATTACATTTGAAAAACACTGGGATATACAGCTTATAATATTATTCTCCCATTATTTTATAAAGAAAATATCATAAATTATTCTCACCTGAAATAATCCTTAGCCAAATTTTTGGATGAAATACTTACATTACAAACTGTGAAACTGAGGAACTAAAGACAATAATTTTGTTCTTCCCAGACTCCTTACAACTGTGAAAATTTAATTCCTTGGCTAAGAAATAGTTTTGGGGGGGCTAATAGTTAATAGGATTATGAGGCTGGTGAAAGGTTTTGGACATGACACAAAATATTTTTTTTCTATTTGAAGAACTGAAAATTTGAAAAAAGTGTTCTTTGTCTTATGAACATAATGGAAACAGGATTATTTTCTGAAATTCCAATTACGGTATTTTCTGATTTTGATTTTGCCCCAGGGAAACCACTATAAAGATGCCCAATCAGAATGAAAAGTGTTACGGTTTGTGATACAAGGAGGTTTTTCCATTAAACCACACCTTATTACTGAGAAAAAAAATATGACCAGTAAAGTGAAAACTAAAATTCGGAAACAATCAGGGCATATTCAAACCCAAACCAAAAATTAAAAAAAAAAACAACAAAAAACAGAAAAAGAAGAAAAGAAGTATATTTTCTTTATCAGACAACTGAGCAATTCAGATAATCAGTTCTCTCTTATAATAATACAATGGATACTATGACCATAATAGTATTTCTAGATAACAAAACTATCAGTAATTAAATAGTGATGATTAATTACCATTCCCCTTAAGATTTTGTTCTGCAGCAGTTTTTGTTTGTTAATTGCACCTCATTTTCAATTCTATAGGCCAGTATAGCACATTTCCATTCCCCTTCTATTCCATCCGCTACTCTCCCTAAGCCTCTCCCCTAAGGGGGAACTACTTGGTTTCTATAGTAACTATTACAAACTATCGCTCCCGGGGTAGCAGGAGGAAAGGCCAGCAGAAGTAAAGGTCTAAATCTGGGTGCTTGTAGTGTAACACATTCTCTGTGTTATTGTGAGCTACCAAGAACTTTTTTCTACTTCCTTATTTGGAAAAGTACTTAGCACTTTTCAGAGTAGCATTTCAAGGGAGTAAATAATACCCTTGTCTCTAACCAATAGTAAGAAATCCCTCTTGGACCTTCCATGATCACCAATGTCCAAAGGGGATCGAGGTTGTGTGCACGTCCCTTCGACCCACCATTTGGACAGTAGTGCACAGAATATGATTGCTTCTAACTGGAACACAAGCTTTGTCAATCAGCGTGAAACAATAAATGTGCTCATGATCCATTCTGGCCATCTGATATCTAATTTGAAGTTTTATACAAAATGTATATGCTGAATCCTAGCTCAGTGATAATGAGAATGTTTCCTGTTGGGATTGATTCTCTTACCTAACTCTGGAGAATGTTTCTTTTTGTAACAGAAGAGTAGCAGTCCCTTATTGGGAGTGAGAGAATTGTTTGGGGAATCCTAGAGTGTTTATTCCCAACTTCACTCTCAGAGTAAAAATACCTATTTGCAAAAGGAATGCTTTCTCCCGTAGTGAAAGGGGTTTGGGAAATCTGATCCAGTCTGTCAGTCCCGGAAGGACGTCTGAGCCCTCTCTCCCTTTTTAATATAAGAAGAATTCGAAAGCAGTGGGGAAGCTTGCTAAACCTATCACAGCATTGCTAACAGACAGCCTATTACAGTATTTAATAAAAACAGAAACAGCATGCTTATCGTAGGCTAATAAGCCTACCTCCTGTGCGCTTTAAAGACAGTGTGAAGCAGCTCTAACAGAGCTTCAGATAACTAATTTCAAGCATGGCCGTGTAGCGTGCCAGTCACTCCTATTGTCCTTCCAAACTCTTTCAGACATTTTGAGCTGGGAGTATTAAAGCTATGAGTTAGCAAGGGTTGTGACATTAATGGTACAGAAAAGCTTTAGGCACGAGAGGTAATGATGATTACGGGTGGCTCTTTGGAGGACTGCACTGGATCTGGATCGCTGTCCTTAAAAATTAAGCGTGGCTTTTGAGGAAGATGTGACAACTACGGGAGGTAAGATTTGCATGTCAAACAAAGGGATCTGTTGCTGTTTCTTGCTTTTTTTTGTTTGCTTTGTGCCGAGTGGGTCGTGAATTGCAGCCAGGTGCGGAGTAAGAAGCAGGGAAGCGATAGAGGGGAGTGGGAGACGGATCTGTTTAGAGCAAAACACAGTGGATAGTATTGTGTTTTATGGCAGAAATGCCTCGAGGACAGAGAGTGGCTCCAGGCTCCGTGTCTGCTGAGTGTGCATTCCACGTTGCTTTTCCCATGGAGTAAAATGCTTAGAGGTCACGGAGAAAGCAGTTTGCTTCTTATCTGTGGTGCCCGCTAGGCTGTTAGTAGGGTTAGGGGAAGACTTTTGGGGGGGGGGGGGCAAAAAGGTCCAAGAAAAATAAAGAGGATGCTGTTCTTAAGACTTGAAACCTGTTAGATAAATATATTTTTTTTCATGGTCAATGTGCTGTGATAACCAGAATCTAATTTTTAAAGAGGGACATTGGAAGATTACAAAGGATTTTCCTCATAAAGAACTACTTTGTATTGTATTTATTATTAAAGAAAATTGGGTACCTCCGTCCATTTTGCATGTTGAAAGGCTGATCCACACTGTTTGCACGGATGGTGTTGCTAACGCAGAGAAAGAGTTTTAGACTCAAAGGGGGGTTTTCCCTCCGCTCCTGCTTTTGCTTTTCAACAACTGTCAGGGCTGCAGATGAAAATGGTGATTCATTAGAGATTGGGAACTTGACAGTTTCTCTTGTTCTTTTCTTCTTCTTTTTCTGCTTTGATGAACAGCATAAAAGCACAATTCTCCTTGAAAGATGAGAGGGGCAGTTGGGTTCCAAAGTCCAGTGGATAATGAGTACATCTGCAGAGGAACTTATACTGCTTTGTACTTTATTATGGGATCCGTGTAGCTCAATCAAAGAAGGAAATGTCAGGAAATCACCGGCTGAGGTTTTTAAAGCAAAACGCAATGATCAAAAACGAATGTTTCCCCAACTTGATCTATGGTGCAAGTTTTGGTATTTGTCATTGCACATGACCCTTGATGTGAAGTGTCAGGAACATAGTAAGTGAATTTGTCCATGTTCTTGTGTTATTTCCCTGATAGACTTCACAAACTCTGACATGCAAAGATGCTGCAATAGATTTTGAAAAATGCTATGTTCTGATGCATTGATTTAATGAATGGCAAAGATACATAAAATAATTGTATATTTAAAAAAGAATATAACATTCTTCCAAAAGTTCTATGTTAATGAAGTACTGACTAGAAATAAAAGGGAATGAGAATTATAGTATGTTTCTTTTAGTTAAATACTGGAATTGAAGTTAAATGGGCTTTTTCCCTGGTACAGTTGAGTTTATACATTTGTGAGCTTCTGTACATATGCTGCCATTCACATTTAAAGTTGAAATCATTGTCCCGTAGTGTGTGACACCTACGCTTAAAGTTGTGTGTCTATTTTTCCTACTAGTGTGATGAAAATTACTGAAACTCTCTATGCTAGTCTTTCTGTGACCAAGGGCACATGTCCATGAAATAACTGTATAGAATTTCTGATGCAATTGATGGCTTTGACATAGTTTTCTGTTTCTATGTGTCCAGTGGAATGTGTGACCTTGACCTTGTAAAGTCCCATTATCTAGCCAATTGTGCTCACCAGTCAAGAACCCATGCATGGAGAGCACACAATACACAAACAGAAACACACACACACATTTTATTTACGGTGATCAGATTATAAGTGAATGTAATTTCTATTGTTTTCATTAATTTTATTTATTTTAAAAGAACTTCCACTGTCTCTGGTCCTACCAATATCTTCTAAATCTAATCAGATCAAGCATTTATTATAAAAGCGACTTGTGCCATAAAAGTTGTCAACAGAAGTCATTTTGCTGTGGTCATGCTCATAACACTTTACTGATCAACTAAAATGACTTTTCACAATTTTCACAGATTTATGGGGAAAGTCCCTATATTAAATCTCCATGGTATGTGTGTCTAGACTAAACGCCTACGACATGAAAAATAGAGGAGGCAATTGTTTTGTTGTTTGCAAGCTGTGGGGAGAGCCAAACCAAGTAATTTAGTCAAAACAACCTACTTGTCACAAATTAATTTTGCTACCTATTTATATTGGTAGGTATCAATCAAAGCATTTCCACATGTCCTTCCCTTTTGGTTTTTGGTACATCTAGTAATAAAAATGAGCAATTTCAAAGCTATACAGAAATCAACTGAGGAATCCATCCTGACATAAAAAATAAGCAAAGCTTCAGCCTCTTGTTTTCTCAGTGCCCAAGGGTGGCACAGTCATCATTCAGTCACCAAGACACAAGTCACCAAGTCCAGAATTGTCCTTGTTCTCTGTCTCTCTCATATACATAGTCGTCATTTTACTTTTATTGGTGATATCGGACCAGACATTTCACAAACTAACACAACCTCCCCTTATCACCTCTCTTCTCTCATCAAAATATGATGAAAAAAGAGCCTTCCCAATATCTTCCTGCTATTATGTTGAATAAAGAGCAGACTGCAACAATGTATCTACAATATAATCCTAATTTTAATATATACCTGTATATATACCTAATTTTAATATATACCTGTATAAGAGAAAGAAGTGCACCATTTTATTCTTATTATTCATCTGTAGGGTTGCTAATTTTTTCAAAATAGGCATTGCATTAACAGTCACAGGAAAACTAATGTCATTAAAGTTTACATCCCCTATCCCAGCCACATTGCCATCTTTCCCATTACCATACTTCATATAACCCACTACGTCTTCACCTCAAATTCCAAACTCATTTGTTGGTCCCAAAAAGGCTCAATAGAAATGCCATGCCCCTTCTTCCTTGGGTTTTCTGGCACATCGTGAAAAACTCAGCATCATCTTTTCTCAGAGACTGACTCCTACATGTTAATTCAGGTTTACTAGAAAAAGGTGTGTATGTGTGTACATGTGTGTGTGTTCTCTTTACTACTTTATAGATAGATAATATTTCAATCTCCTTTTCTGGCTCCTTATTATCCCCTAAATATTTAAATGCTGGAGTGCTCTGTGACTCAGCTATAAATCTATTCTTTACCTAAACTTACTCCCTAGATGAGTTCCAGCTAGTCTCAAGACCTTAAAAACTATCCACACCCAAAACAGCTTACAAATTCTAATGCCTGAATTAGGTTTTTCCTCTAACGTGCATACTTACATATTCAACTATCTACATAACATTTTCATGTAAATGTACTGTGGGCATTTCACACTTAACATATTCACAACCACATTTCTGAATTTCCACACACAGTCCTCCCAAAAATTTTCCCCCATGCATCTAAATGGGAACTCAATTCTTCCACTTGCTCTGAAGAAAAATCTTGAAGTCCACTTTGAATCTTCTATTTCCTTCACTTGTCAAAGAAAATCCCATTGTTTCTACCTTCAAATTGTAGCTAGAATTCAATTACTGATAATCCCACTGCTACCCCTCCGGGCGAATTACCGCTAGCTCTCCGATTATTGCCCGTATTTTCACCACCGACCTCATGCTTCTGCCTCCCTCTGTTCTCCTACACACATTCTGGTCTGTATCTGACATGAGTGGTCACTCCAGAATTGAAGTTAACACATAATATCTCCTGCTCAAAAGTCTCCAACATCCTCCCATCTAACTACAGGTTAAAGCCAGATCCTTACAGTGGCCCACAGGCCACGTGTGATCAGCCCGGGTTCCTCCCTGGCTCCTCTGCTGCCTCCCCCTTTAGCACAGCACTGCAGCCAGCTGGTCCTCAAACCTGCCATGCTCTCTCAAGCCTCAGGGCCTTTGACTCGGCTGTGCCTGCTGCCAGGGAAATTCTTCCCCTAGATCGCTACATAATTCAGTGTCTCACTTTCTTCAGGTCTCCACCAAATATCACCTCATCAGAGAAGAGTTCCCTGCAAACCATATTTCAAAGTGTACCCTCTTGCACAAATCCCATCCCTAGTCCTTGCTTCATTTTTCTCCATCACATATCAACTTATAGCCCCAATATATCATATATTAAGTTTTTATTGTCTTTCTGTCTCTTTCCTGCTGGAATGTAAACTCTATGAGAAGAGTGGTTTTGTTTTGTTCCCTGACACAACAGTCATCAAATTAATGAATGTAGGAATTCAATGCTCTTTTTCCCCGTAAAAATCCATTGGTAACATGAGACTCCAAGCACAAGGTTTTCAACCTCAGGGTCAAAGCTCTACGTCATCGCACCTTATTACTTTTTCCAAACAGAAAGATACTGAACACCTTGAAGAAAGTCAAGGAGATTTATCGAGATAATTTTTTTCTTCTCTTTACATAAGAGTAAAAATGCACATCACTGATTCCAATCTATGTCAAAGCAAATAAAAATTCAACTTGCCTGAATCTGATTTATCCAAAAGATCACTTCTCTTTCAAAAAGATATCTTCACAGATTTATACAAATGACTCTGGGCATAAATTTGTCCTATATTTTCTCTGATCTCCCCTGGTGATAAGAGAAGGGATGGCAAAACCAGGTTGGAAATTACAATTGGGCTCAATACCCCTTTTCCGAGCATACAAGCCCCAGTAGCCTGTGTGGCACAAGGAATCAGTCAATACTGATCGATATACGTACCATTCATTTGCATTAATTTATTGCTCTTGAAATCAGCATGGTTAGTCTCATGGTCTAGTTAACAGTGACCTCTCTACCACTTATAAGGTATATGTTTTCAAATAATTAAAGTATAATAAAATACTCCTATTCTACAAATTGGGTACTAGTAATAATGCCCAATATTTCTAGAATGTTCCATAATCCAGGGAGATAGTGTGATATGAAAAGGACATAGCATCTGAGACAAGCACAGGCTTTTAAGAACATAGAGATTTGGTCTGAATCTCACATTCGTACTTCATAGCTATGGATCATGGGTAAGTTTATAAAATGTTATCATGCCTCAGTTTCTTACCTGGTAAAAGGTGATAGTAATATCTCCCTCTTTAGGCTGAATATTAAATATGATTAGGTGTTAGAATACTTGGCACAGAAAAAAAGCTTAAAAAGTAATAGTGTTCTCACTGTCTTTGTCATTTAATCTTCACAGTATGCCTGAGTAGCAGATATTATACTTTCCATTGAACAGATAAGAAAACTAAAGTGTAGAAAAGTTAATCATATTGCTCAAGGCCAAAGAACTAGTAAACTATTGAAATTTACTCTCCCTTCAGCCATAAAGAGTCCTGATAAATAGAATGTCAGATTAACCATCTTTTAGCATATTTAGTGACTATAGGCTGCCAGCGATTACAGGAATTTTTTTAAAGGGAGGATCTGAAGAAAAGATTTTTCTCTCCTCTGTGAACAATGCAGGAGCCTTAGGATGCCTTCCCTGAAGAAAAAGTAGACTTAAGCTCCTGTGAAGTGACTTAAGTGACAGGCAATTTATTCATTAAGAAAACCTCAGTCTCTAGATGTACAGTTTACTGTGGCATCCAAACACAAGTTCTGTGGCCCTGAAGACCTGCCCCTTGCCCGTTCTTTAAACCTGCTCTTTCTTCAGCAGAAATGTAGACAGTAATAGTGCATCACTCATGGGGTTTTGAGGATTAAATGAGGTAACCTGTGCACAGCTGTTGACACTGTGCTTGGCACAAATTATGCACATAATGCATATTACCTACCAGCACCTTAGCTGTTACCATCTAGGATGAAACTTAAAACATTATAAATATGTTACAACACTGAGAGATTTGGTTTAAATATCTCCTTTAGTTCTTATTTCTTAATATTGCATGTCTCTAGGTTAATTCAATGGAAGTAATTTTAAAGTGATTTAATTACCAAAGTATTATGTTAGAGGTCAAGGTGTTTGAGCATCTGGCCAGCTCCAGAAACAGAATTTCTTGAAATGTGTGACATTTGATTGTTTCTTATTAGACCCAAAATAAAAGAGGCAATTCTAGAAAAATCAAGAAAATGTCTGCTTTTCTGAGATAACCCAATTTTATGGATTTATATTAAAAAAGCTCTAACCGACTGCCTTTCCTCGACCTTGTTGGGCTCCAGTTTCAACATTACTTACTGGTTTTCACTCTGCCTGTGACTACATGGGATGAATTGCTGGTAAACAGACCATGAACGAATGCATTATCTTGTAATACAACTTCAATGCCAGGTGTGCATGAAATTTGCAGTTAGCAGCAGTCGGTTATCTAGATTTAACATTATGAATTGCTTAATGCAAAGGCATTCACTTTCATTTAATTGCTCAATAAAAATTATCACCTCCATACAAACTACTGGGAAACTCTCAAATACTAATCTACTACAGAGGCTAAACTTTTCCTTTAATCAGTTCTGAACGTCGTCCTGTACCAAACAACTTCTCAAATTTCAAAGCCTTGAAGACTTGTTGTGTTGCTAATGATTATATTTGTGTTGGTGTTTTCTTTAATATTTTGTCATTTCCCAAATGCACCTCTGTAAGTGCAAATATTTACATTCCCTCATTATTTTCTAAGGCATAAAAGAAGCTACAAAACTGCTATTCTCTGGTGCATCTGAGATCTCTTTCCCTGGCTTATGTGATCTGTTTGGCTCAAATAAACCTTTATAAAAGTTTTTTAGATAAATAAATATAATACATATACCAATCATGACATAAAGATCACCAGTGGAGGTGATAGAGGTTTGGACAGAGTAACATATTTGGCGGTAAGGTGTCTCTACATTTTACTTGAAGTAATGTAATATTACCACTCATTTCACTGTGAAAGTTTAGATATATATTGTAAGCCAGAGCAACTACAAAATAAGAAAGCTGTATCCAAAAAAAGTATACACATTAAAATGTAATATTAAGAAATATTGAAACAATCCAAAATAGGTTAGGAAAGTTAAAAATAGAAAATCAGTTTATAAGTAATAAAATAATAGGCCTAAATCCAACCATATCAATAATTGCATTAAATGTAAATTATCCAAACAAAGCAATTAAGAGATTATCAGATTGGAATTTCTTTTAAGTCCTAACTTGGTGTTGTCTACAAGTAAATCATTTTAAATATAACAACATAGGATGGTGAATAAAAAGATGGGAAAAAAACATCAGAAAAGCTAATCAAAAGAAAGCTGGAGTGTCTATATTAACATGAGATGAAATACATTCCAGAACAAGGAAATCACAAGCAACAAGGAGAAATAGTACATAATGGTAAAAGAAGTCCCTTCATCAAAAGCACATCATTCTAGCCCTCACCAGTGTGGGCAGAGGGTTCCATTCCAAAAGTAGTGAGTGGGTGTTACATGTCAACATCCAGCAACCCTAGGAATGAATGATGTCCCCAATGTCCTGTCTTCACCAGCCCTACTCAGCTCCTGCAGACTCATGCCTATTGCTTCTTTACGGAGTCAGTCCTTCACATATTTGGTCTTCCTCTTTTCCTGCTGCCTTCTATTTTTCCCATCATTGTTGCCTTTTACACAGGACCTTTGTAGGATGTGCCTAAAGTAGGATAGCTTCGGTTTCAGCATTTTTGCTTCCATCAATGTTTTAGGCATAATTTGCTCTCAGGCTCACTTTTTTCATTTTTCTGGCAGTCCTGGTTATTCGTAGAGCTATCTCCTCCAAGACCGTATTTCAAGCAAATCAATTATTTTCCTATCAGCCTTCTTCACTGTCCAACTTTTGTGTCTGTACATAGTAATTGGTAATACGAGAGTGTGGATGATACTAGCCTTGGTCTCTAATGACACATCTTTGCTCTTGGTGATGTTTCTTAATTCTTCTGTTGCCATCACAGATTTTCAAAGTTTGATTTTTTAAAAAAAAATCTTCACATGGTATTGCTCCTTTTTGCTGCAAGAATACTCTGTGCATAGTTCTACCATGGCAGTTGGCACACTGTTCTGATCTTTGGTTCACTAATCTGCCCCCTCCCTCCCCAATTAAATCATAAGTCCCAGGAGGTCAAGGACTGGGTCATAGTCATCACAGTATTTCTAGTGCCTACCAGAGTTCTTGGCAGTAGTTAATGCTCAATAAGTATTTCTTGAATGAGTTAAAACAGTGATAAATATATATTCAACATTAGATATCTTAGTGTCCAGTTTGACCTGAGGGTAAATGATCAAGTGAACAAATAAATCATATACTTCCAAAATAGTGCTGCATAGGACTATTACAATAATGTTATAATAATAAAGCCCTGGACCTGCCCTGTGCTTACAAACTCCTCGTTCACCTGTCCTCTCATCTCTCCTCTTTCCATTCTCAAGCCCATATTAGATGCTTTTTTGGCAGTTTCTCCATCCCTTCCACTCTAATGTCTATCCAAAGCTGCTACCCTATCTTTGTAAAGAGCATGGCGAAACCTTTCATTCAAAGCTAAGTTTAAGTCTGACAGTTTCCTGGAGCAAATGCCTAAGCCCCCTCCTCATCAAAGCTAGGGTGACAGATGAGCCTGGGTGAGAACTTCAGCTCAGGGGGAGAGGAGAGAATACATCAGCTGTCAAAATGTCAAACCTGCTGACTTCTTAG